GATTTGAACCCAGATGTTTCAACTCATGAGCCCACACTCAGTCGATCATAAGACTAATGAAACTGAGTGAGGGTGAGGATATGATTGGCTGTGAGCCAATCTGCTTTGCCAAGTGAAAAACATTCTGTTCTGCGGTCACAGATTCCTTAAAATGTTTGTTTACTGGTGACAAGCGGTAACAAGCGAAAGAAATAGAATAAATAGAATAGCTCATTGTAAAACCATTCTGATGATTTGAAAAGCAGCCCACAGCTCAGTGAGTGCCAGCAATGTCATCTCACTCAGAGTGCTTGAGTTTTCCTCCCTCTCATCTCTGCCCAGACTTGGCTCTTGTGAGGAGTATGGGCCAAAGCGTCAGTGAGAAAGGAAGGTATGGGAGCACAGGCCAGTGGAGAATTGCTGCCCATTTCCCAAAGCTGTCAGAGACAAACGGGATAGGGCTGACTCTTGCTCTCTGAGCTTCTAAACGAGAAAGACACAGGAATCAGATTTCAAAATATGATAAGGAAGAACTTGAAGTGGTACCTGGAAGACCTTGAATAGACAAATGTCCAGATGACAACTATATTCTTCCTTATTTTTAAATACCAACTAACATCCTTGTTCTGCATGCTTATTAGACCAATACCAAGAGTTTCCAATATAGGGACTGAAACTGTTTTCTCTTGGACACTAGGTCTCAGCTTCCCTGTTGTCCGTGCTGGTGTCCATTCTACAGAAGAGCTAATTTAGTCCAGCTGCGGCCAAACTCTGGTCTGTAGGTCTTGTACTCTCATCCATGTTGTCTCTAGTGACCCACAATGTCTTGAGCCCAAAAATCAAGCATGTGACAAGAACTCTCATTCTTCTCTGACTTTTGTCTTGGTCCAGTGGGTCTGAATGATGGCCTGTCTGCCTGGTCTTTTCTGCCCACAGCCTGTACTACACAGTACTCCTAGGGCTCAGGGGCAAGGGCTGCAGATCTCTGCTCACTTGTCTTCCTCTCACGTCATAATCATCACTGCATCAGGCATGCCCATCCCCAGCCTGTGAGTGGCCCAAGGCTGGTGCTTCCCTTTCATATTTCTCTCACTTTCTGTGTATAAACATAGCATGTGCTCAGTAAACAGGCTGACCAAGGAGATGTTTGATCGCTCTAATTTTTAAAGACCTATAGAGTAGCAGTTGTTTTCACATAACGTGACTCTAGGTAGGTAGATCCTGAAGGGAGAGTGGAAGCTCTAAATTTCCTTAGTTATGCCTCTGCATAATTTTTGTGCTATCAAGTTTTTTTCTGCACCAAAGATTCCACTTTCATTTAAATTCAGTGAAACCTCAGTAAAAAACAAAGGCATACAGAGACACACACCAGAGAAGACTAGAAACAGTCCATGACTGTAAAAAAGAAATTATCTTTTTTTCTTCTCATATTCTATATCAGAGGTAAACAGGGATGACAAGCAATAGCAATGTTAATGAGATTGGGTATACATGATTAACTATTATGAACTATTATTGTGATTTGCATGGTTTTACTATTGATGTATTAAGTAATGTTTAGCAATTAAGAGATTCAAACTAGATCTCAACGATAAGGTACTGGGTATTAAGGAAAAAATCACATACAGGAAAGCAGTAGAGAGCAACTAAGTTTTAAAATTGTGGGGGGTCTTTGAAAAGGTGTGCTTGCTAAGGAGTTATGTACAACTCATACGTGGGTAGGTGCAGGATTCTAGGAAGAGAGACAACGTGGTAGAGAGTCTTGGTGATGCTAAACTGTAGAGTGCATTGAACACTACTCTTCCCATCGCAGGAACAGAAGTGAGAGGTTCCTGTCCTCAGCCTGCATCATCCTCATCCTCCATCTTTTGGCATCCTGTGACCACCTTGAAATGCTCTCTTCCTAATTCACTTTTTCCTTCTCGAATCATACCCCTTCCTATCCCCATTTCCTGCTGTCTGCTTTCCTTTCTCTTATCCTTGAAATACAGCTCCTCACCATGCTGCTATTCTCAGCTCTCTGCTGTTTTCTTTCTCTACTTTCCCTCAAAGAGCTTATTCACTATCACAGGGTCAACTACCACTTCTAAGCTGTTAACTCCCAAATCTTTATTTCCTCCCCTAGATCCTCCTTCCAGGCAAGGGCACACATTGCCTACATGACTTCCTACTTCATTTCCACCTGTTGAATCACTTAAAGTTCAGGATGCTTCCAATTACACTCTGCCCAAACTACCTCCTTTTCCCAGTCTCTCTAAGTCAGTCATCAATATTCCCTTAATTCCCAGCTGTCCCTCACACTTCATAACCAATCAGCCCTCAAGTCACATGCCTTTGATCATCACACTTCTCTCATCTATCCCATATTTCCATGCTCATTTGCCACTGCCAAAGGTCAGGATTTTATCCTTATTTATACCATTAAAACTGCCTCCTAATTGATCCCCCTGCCCCTAATCTCACATGGCCTCATTCCATCCTAAAATCTGCTATCAAATTAACTTTTCTTGAATGCTGCTGGGATTGTTTCATTCCTTTACTCAAAAATTCTTATGGCTCCTCATTATCTACTGACTACAGAACAGCTCATCCAATCATTCATCGAACAAATATTCATCGAGCACCTACTATGTGCCATGCACTTGCACGATGTTAGGGATTCAGCAGCGAGCAAGATAGAAAAGATTCCAGCTTTCATGGCCTTTGCCTTCTACTGGGAAGACAGGCAGTAAACAAGTAAGCAAAAGAACAAGATAATTCAGTGGTATGAGGGAAAGGAGATGTAGTAATGAGAGTGAGTTGCTGGGTAAAGAGGGAACTACTTTAACAAGTTGTATAAGGTAGACATTTTGGAAGAAATGACTTTGATTGAAGACCTGAATAATGAGCAGGACCTGATCATCTGGAGATCTTGGGGGAGGGCATTCCAAGCAAGGAGAACAGCAAGTGCAAAGGCCCTAAGGAGGGAAAGTGAATTATTTGTCATTCTTGGCCCTCTACCATGTTGACCCAACTAGCTATTTAATCTAATTTCACATAACTCCTCCATACAATACTCAGATTCCAGCCAAATTATTATTCTTACTGTTCTCTAAACATGCCTTCGTGTTCCTGCTGCCATGTTTTTCTCCATTTTTTCCTTTCATAAGGAAAGTCCTCCTCTTGCCTATCTATAACTATGGAAATCCAGCAAAACCCAGTTCAGAGGTCACCCTTTCTGTGAAAGCATCACTGATAACCTCCAGCAAAAGTTCACCTTTTCCTCACTGAAATCTGATTACATATGTTGGGACCTCTCGTCTTACTTGCCACAACGAGATAGTTATAGAGGGGGCTGCGTTCCTGGAACAGGCATTGTAATGTGAAATACATAAGCCAAATCAGAACTTTCTTACGGAGACTGTGTCATGATGATGGTTATCCTCCCAGTTAAGGACCTGGTCTCTGAAGTACAGAGAAATGTTTTGAAACAAAAAATTTAAGAATCTCTGTCTAATATTTTATCTCGGAACTATTCAAACTTTATTTTTAAGCAGTAGCACCTTGCCCACCAATAATATATACCTATATTGTCCACTATATAAAGCATAAAAGCAGAGCTGGTCTGGTTGAATCAGGGAAAGGAGATCCAAGAATCTCCCTGTTCAGCTTCTTTGCCCTTCACAAGGGACAGATCCTCCATCTCCAACTCACACCTTCACTCCCTGAGCCCCTGAGATGTGGAACCCTGTAGCTTCAGGAACATGATTTAATAATGAACAGCCTTACCCAATGCACAGCATATGTAAATCAATTCGATTAACCTCGTATTTTTTATTTCTTTAGAAGAATGCTGATGGAGGCTTTGAGGACAATGGGGACTGGGAGAGGCCATTGCTATAGGACTCACAGAAAAGAGCCAGCTAGAGTATTCACAGGACAGAATGTCTGTGGTCCCATCTCCATCCACCTTTGTTTAGCCAACTCCTTCTTTTCCTTTGAGTCTCAAATTAGGTGTCATTTCTTCCAGGAAACCTCCCCTGACCCCAAGCTTGGGCTAGATCTGTTATGGACTTGTACCTCACCCTGCACTTTCTTAACCACAGCTCCCTATTATACCTGCTTGTTCTACAGTAATTGCAACAGTGGCTCCTCCACTGGTCTGTGAGCTCTGTGTGAGCAGCAACTGTGCCCATCTTGTACACTCCAGAACTCCCAGTGCCTTCAATGCATGGCACAAGGTAGGTGCTCTGGTATCTGTTGAATGAATGTATGGATGGATGAAAATAGGTAAGGTGCAATTCAGGGCAGGAGAAGACAGGAATGGGGCCTTACCAGCCAGAGTTCACCTGCAAGCACCCTGATGCCATGTAGACAATGAAGAACCTGCTGTAGTGCTGTAAGGAAGTGGTTGGGTGCCTCACATGGTGGCCCTACACACCCGTTTTGCTTTCTTTTGAAATTGTAAGCTTATTGGGAGGCTCCAACTATGGTTTACATCCATACCCCTTTAGGGAAAATTTGATGTTTGCTGCCTAGCATCCATCCCCTCTTAACAGTCCCTTTTGGCAAGTACTCCTGCACCCTCCTCAGACAGGTGCTGTCAATGGCTGACCAAACTCCCAGTTCAAGAATGGGTCTGAATCACTTTAAGACAATCAGCATATCATGTCCCCAGCAGCCCACAGTAATTGGTTCAAGAAGAGGCATGTAACCCAGTCAGAGTCAATGAGCCCTCAGTAGCTTTTAGCTGGGGCTTCTTGGGAAGGGGGAGTTCTGCAAAGAAAGTACAAGCACAAAATTTAGCTCCAGACTGGGTTGGAGTCCCAACTACATGGCCAGCTAGCTAAAAGACCTTGGAGATATTACTTAACCTCTCTTCGTCTCTGTTTCTTCCTATGTAAAATAGGCATGAGATTATAGTAGGGAGTATATATACACACATACTTAATTGTAGTGAATATTTTACAAAGTATACATACATCAAATCACCAACTTGTACATCTTAAATATATACAAGAAAACAAAGAAAAGAAAGGCACCTGACACACAGATCAACATATAGTAGCCGCTGTTGCTTCCATTGTTGTCATTGTTGTTATTATTCCACGGGATATGGTGGTATGTAGATATGAGGCTTTGGTCTGCAGCCATCTTGCTGCCTCAAGGGAAGCCGGTCAGAGGGTGAGGCCAGCACAGAGGGCAACGGTGCCTAAGACACAGAGAAATGAGCTCAAAGACATGAGTTGAGTCTTTGGATTAAGCCATGCCCGAAATCAACCTTATCCCCAGACTTTCAGAGATGTGAACTGATGAATTCCCTTTCTTGTGTAAGCCACTCAAAGTTGTATTTGCTATTATTTGGAGTGAAAAGATTCCCTGCTGGCTCACTGTTCTTTGGTGGCAGGGACCTTACCAGCCAGAGCTCATCTGCAGGCAACAGAAATCCAATTTTTTGAGTACAAATGTCGGCAACCAAGTGATCTGTTACCCTCTGTTAGTCAGTTTTACACGTGTTATATCACTTACCCTTCATTATGACCTTTAAGATAGATATATAGGATACTTCTTTCCCCTTTGTATGAACGTGGAAGCAGAGGCTTAGATGGATTAAGTGATTTGCCCAAGGCCTTAGAGCCAGTCAGGGGTGGATCTGAATCCTCTACCCTCTTCTACCAAGGCCTGTGTTCTTTCCACCTCATCCTTTACCTATTCCCAAGGGACGAAGAACAGATAGGGCCCCAAATGATAAGTACTCCATATTTAGGTACTTGAAAAAAACTTGGAGTGAAATTCAGTTCTTCCTAATTTTGATACCACCTCAGTATCATATAATGACTCAATCTCAGGGACAAGTGCTAGTTAGCAACCAAATGTTTAGAGAATCAATAATCCAATTTTTAAAAAGGGAATTAATGCCATACTTAAATTTGTAGGCTATAGATCTCATTTCTTAGAGCCACTTTAAGCTGGCTGAGCATTAAAAATAGAAAAGATCATGAAATTAGTGTGCAGAGGTTTTTTTTTTTTCTTTCCTACTTTTTAACCTCAGGCTCTAGATGGGTGGCAATCCTAATTAGGAAATTATTTCCTTTCAATTAATTGTAGACGGCAACAGTCATACTAAAGACTGCAATCCACAGCTCAATATTAGTACCTTGGGCCAAAATTTTATGTTGGCAAATGTTCCTGTGGTGAATTGTGATTGTCCTGTTTTCAATAGTTATTTCCCTCCTGTTCTCTGTAGAATTAACCTCTTGTGAATCCACTTATAAACTGTTAGCAAGAAATTTTAATTGCGAAGAAAATTACATGGATTCTGGGCTACTTCCTGACACCTACTCTGCACACACAGTTCTTTGCACGGTGATGTAGGGCCCTCACTGGTTCGCAAAGCTCTCACTCACACAGTGGGTTGAAGGCTGCTAGTGATAAAGAGGGAAGTTTGCAGTAATTCTAACTCTCCCATGAAAAATCTCCAGGATTTCTCCCACTACTGTTTTGCAATTCATTATTCCTGATGTCATCTGTAATGTTTCATTTTTGCCAAAGCACAAGTTGCAAAACACTCATTTATTGCTAGTATAAGTTCTTTATCCTACGATATCCCTAGCAAAGGAAAGATTATTAATTAAAAGTTGCTTTCTGAAATGAAAACACTATGAAAGAAAACATAAAGATAATTTTTAAAGTAATAATTTATAAGAAGGAGTATTGATATGTGCATCTTTTCAAGGATGTACAATTAATTCAGCACACTTTTTCTGATTATATTTTATTTTTAATTTTATCTATGTTTGTGGTTTAAAATAATTGATTTGTACAAAAAGGCAATGGGAGAGGAAGAACTCTGTCCCTGAAGTCTCTTTGAGGTATTTATTTGGAGATAAATTGGATGATACTTTTAGGAAATAATGTTTTTTGTTTTTGTTTTTTGCCATAATCAGAATTCTTATCTAGTCCAGTGCAAGGCAGTGAAGGTTTATCAGGCAAGGTTTGTATGGAAACTTGTTGGAGAGGGTTCACAGATATTTTATATCACTTTCTCACCTAGAGTCTAGGACAAAGAATATCACTTCACAGTGAAGCCTTGGGAAGAAGGAGACCCATAGCGTGAGGAATCAGGCCTTCCTCCTCCACGTTTGAAACTTATACCTGGGGGATTGTGCCCTGGATGAAGCATCATGTTTAGGAAGCAATTCCAATGCAAATAAAAATTGCATGGTTTTATCATAATCTGCTGTTTGTTCATTGAAAGCCAGCTTGTTATGCAAACTATGTAGAAAGGTACTGGAGCAATACACCAGAAAAGGTAACGAAAGGTAAATTTGTTAAGTTGTGCTCCCTGTGCCCTGCAAGCATCCCTTATCTGGCCAACTTCTCCCTCTGTCAGACACCTTACACTTACATATGCCCACAGCTCTGTAATCTGGGCTTTCCACCTCATCCAAGGAGGGAAGCACATGGGATGGTCAGATGGCCTTCTTTACTGGACAGTGGATTGGTTAATCCTTCATGGCTTGTCTTCCTCCAATTTCTAATCTGGAAGAATTGAGTGTGTCTATAGACCAGGAATAGGTGTGGGAGGGTCTATAACAACAGAGTGGTTTATCCTATCCCCCAGCCAGGCAAATGTGACAAAGGATCCCTAAAATTATTATAAATTCTTTACCTTAGATTCAAGTAATGTAATCTACTGGACAGAATCCAACATGTGGTAGGGGTCTCTAGTCTGGCCAACTCGTTCCTTTGCCCTGTCTGTAGGCATGAGGACACATTTCTAGCCTTTTGGAGACTGCACATGTCCACCCTATCAATTTCTGGCACATTCTCCATGGAGCCCCTCCTTTACATTCTTTTAACCTTTTCTCCACCCCCATTCTAAGCATCTGCCCCCTCTCCTATTGTGTTTTCTGGTATAGGGTCTGGTCATTCTCAACAACAGAGCAGAAGTAGGTACATAGGATTCAGAGCCTGGAGAGGGAGTGGGTCATCAAGTTAGGATGAAATATCTTTTTAAAAATCATATTTTTCAGATGTTTTTTCCAGCCATTCCAGGCTGTTTTAGCACACAAGCATATTTATCTTTGTACACGTCCAATTAGCAGTGACCGTCTTCGCATGTTTCTGCTGCTATCCTGTAAGTGTTCCTATTTATTTTCATTTGTAACTGTCCCATTTTCTTGCCTGTGTATTTTATTCCTTCCATTAGATTTCACGGTCTTAAAAGGAAGGGGCCATATCTTCCATTTCATTTTAATTCTCTAAATTCTCTACAAACAGCACTTAATAGATGCTCCTGGCTTCCTTACATGCCTTAACAAATAGCTTTGATTCTGCTGGTGCCCTGGGCTCTTCAAAGGAAGCCTGTCACGTGGAGGTGCCCCTTTCGACCTTGACCAAAGCTCTAAATCCTAGTCATCTGCGTTTTCCTTACATCATAAAAATGCTGCTGCCAAGAAGGTGTGGTCCAAAACAGACTCAGGAATCAAACTCCAAATTTAACCCTAATGTCGATATTGAGGACAAGGGGACAGCAAGTCACACCCTGGACACTGGTATTTTGGCTCTAAGGAAATTGTGTGTAACTAATAGTTATGCTGATACAGATTCAACCACTCTCTTCCTCTGAGAACAGTTTGCCTGACAGGCTTGTGATGAAATTCTTTTTGTCCCTTTCTTGTATTCTAAAAGATAAAAACAAGGCCATCCGCATAATAATGACACCAAAATAATACGAAGCTTGTGAATGAGCATAATGAATGCAGAGAAAATTGCTGGCAATTAAGGCTGAAACAACGTCCCTGTCTTTCTAAGCACAGCAACGCCTTTCCCAAACTGCTTTCTTCCTCCTCCATCCTGCCTAGGGTTTTTGAGGACATTTAGACATTTGGTCATTTTAGCCTTTGCTGTGTTTTGGGATTTTCAAAGAGGATGTGAATGATCCCATAAAGACAATGTTTCAAAAGCTCCTAAATTGACAGATAATGATGACTTTAGGTGAGCTGGTAAACAAAGAAAGCAAAAATTAAGCCCAGGGTCTGGGGAAAATTGACATTTAAAGCTTGATAGAGAAATCAGAGGTCATTCGATCAGGCACTCAGAAACCCAATATGGGTTATAGTGCCAAATGATGAGGACTACAGGTCAAGATACAAATGGCATCATGCTTGAATGACAATTGGGAATATATATTGGGTCGGATGTTTTTATTTTGACAGATTACACCTTGTGGCCAAAGTGGCAAATGATGGACCTTACTGGTTAGCAGATAAACACTGTCAAAGAAAGTTGGAGACCACGTTCCTTTAACTCTGACTTTGCCTTCAGATTATGCTCCTGAGCTTCACTGGCTGTTAATCCACTGGAAAGTGATAGACACCCAAAGTTTTAATTTTCTAATTTGTTTAGAAGAGCTTTGCTTTCTTTCTATACCTCACTTCCAAATTCTCCTTTTCATTGTAGTATAATTAGCTTCCCCTTGTTTATGTATAATCATAAAGGGAAATTTAGCATATATTTATGAGAATCAGTTCCCCCAGTAAGGAGGAAATGCACACTTTATGTTATTCCAGGCCAGAGAGAAGGAACCTTGAATCAACTTCAAATCTCATTGCTCTTTTTTTCAATGTATGCTGATACTCTTTGACCCACTTCAAATTCTTTTTTTCTTTCCATGCCCTTATCTGCTTTGACATGACAAGTTACGCTTTTGATTTCTTTTGATGCCCCTAAAGTTTAACATTATGCTGAGAATCTTTACAATTTAATAAACAGAGAAATATGATGCTTTTACCCTGTATCTGTAGATGTGCAGGTCTGTCTCACAAAGAAAATTAATTCATCTCTAAGGTTCAGGGCTTCCCAAATTTCAAAGTCATGAGTTCATATGCACTGATGTGACTATGTACACAAATATCCAGGACTTAAGAAACAAAGTCTCCTGCGCATCACTCCAGCTGGGATTGGGGACTAGTGAAAATGCAGCTGGGAATTCTTTTCAATTCATAATGGGCTCTACTCCAAGCTTCAACCGTCACACTGCTTGTTCTGAAATACTTATTCAACTCCTAGGGAACATAGAAATGCCTGCAGTGGTAGTGAGGAAAGAAGAAGGTACAGTTCTGCTGGCCGAGGTCTAGAGGGCATAAGCCATTCTCTCCTGAGGGATGAGTTAGGGCAGAGGAAAGAGGGAGGCATTTTCTTCATTTGTCCCACATTTACCCTCTGGCAGTTGCTAAAGGCAATACTGCAAGTTGGTTGAAAGTAAGGAGGAGGGTTGGAGAAAGTAAAGTTGGTTGAAAAAAACATAGTTTTGAGTATTTGGTATTAATAAAGACATCCCAAATCTTTTCCACTGCATTTCCATTGCAAAGAAATGAGTCAACCAAGAAAGGACAGTTAAGTTAGTTTGAAAAGTTCCCTTCTAAGGGAACAGAAATTTCAGACAATGAGAGTGAAGTAAATCCCACTCTTAAATTGAAGCACCAAACTATAGGGCTTTTGAAGTTACTCTGTTCTTAGGATGGGAAGATGTTCTCAGTATGGCAAAGGATTCATCCACAAAATGTCCTTCCCCTCCCTAATACATTTGGGTTACTTATAAAAGTAGATGTCAGAAAGGGTTTATGAATGTTATTTTTTGCTCTGAGTACTATAGCTTCTATCTGCCCAGGCCTCTCTTCTTTTCTGACCATGCCTAGAGTCATTGGTCAGGAATGCCTCACCAGCTTTTTAGGGAACAGCAGCCAAATTGGGCAGTGTCTATGTGTATATGAACATAAAATTCAAGTATTATTGTTAGCACTAAAGTTTGAAAGGATGAGAAACTGGCTCCATGCCCTTTCATGACTTGCAATTGGTCTGTTGATGCATAAACTTCGGATGGAGGAAAACAGGTCCTCTGATAATAATTCTGAATGTTAATTTTAAGCGCTGTTCCATAGATTTATTTAACTTCCAAAAATACCATGCTTCAAATTAATGGTCCATTTATTTGAACAGAAAGGATCCAAAAATGGTGAGGATAATACTCCAACTGTCAGCTCAGAGACAGGGCTCCTGGTTACCTGTCTAGGTTATCCTGGGAAGTGGGGAGAGTATAAGCAGATATCAGTCCATATTCTTCCCCCTAGAAACAGAGAAATGCAAGTGCCTGAATCAAGACAAGTGATAACATTTTTTAAGACATAAAAGAAAGATGTGTTTAGAGTTATCTTTATTTTTAAATTTTTTAAATTTTTAATTTTTTTGGTGAGGAAGATTGGCCCTGAGCTAACATCTGTGCCAGTCTTCCTCTCTTTTGTATGTGAGATGCCACCACAGCATGGCCTGATGAGCAGTGTGTAGGTCCGCACCTAGGAGCCTAACCTGTGAACTCCAGGCTGCCAAAGCAGAGCACATGAACTTAACCACTACTCCACCCAGCCAGTCCCAAGAGTGATCTTTAAATAAACTTACATTACAATAGCTTTACAGGGCTTATTTTATTTTTTGAGAAATTCAGTGTCTCCCCACCTATTCTCCCTGTTCTCCAAATTGAATATAAGAGTTTATGCTAAGAACATGATTTTCTTATCCTGATTTAGGAGTGATCTTTGATGACAAAACTGTTCCTCATTCTTTCATTCAATAAATATTTATTGAATGCAAATTACTGGGCAGTTTCTGTGACAGGCAGGTAGGCAGGGTAAGGATATAGCAGTGAGTAAGACTCAGTCCTTGCCCCACAGGGAACTTAGAGTCTTGGGGGAGAAAGACAAGTTAACAGGTGACTGCAATACTGAAAGATAAGAACCACTCTGAAGATTAATAAGGGACACTTGGGAGCACATGGAAGGGAAATCCAACCAAGCACGCTTGGGGAAGGGGTCAGGAAATACTCTCTGGAGGAATAGATGTGTAGGCTAAGACTAGAAGAATCAGGAGTTAGGGGAAAGGAGTGAGAAGTTGGGGCATGTGGGAAAACTTTTCAGGAAGACAATGTGTTCAATCCTGGCCGACGGGGAGGGATGAGTTTCTCATTAACTAGAGCAGCCAAACTCCAATCATTGTCTTTGCTCACATTCTCCAATGTCAGAAGAGGTCAATAATTAATATTTCCACATAGTTGGTAAATGTGCAAGGGGGCCATTTTGCCTTAAGATGGGATTTCATGCAGGGTTCTTACTTGCTTGTTATTGTGACTATTTTTGACAACTGGCAACAATAATGTGAAAGATTATTTTTTCATTTATTTATTTATTTTTTTGAAGATGGCCGACTAATGTCTGAAAGAACCATATATATATATATTTTTTTATTTTTCCTTCTTCTTCCCAAAGCCCCCTAGTACATAGTTGTATATTTTAGTTGTGGGTCCTTCTAGTTGTAGCATGTGGGATGCTGCCTCAGCATGGCTTGATGAGCGGTGCTAGGTCTGCACCCAGGATCTGAACCAGCAAAATTCTGGGCCACCGAAACAGAGCGCATGAACTTAACCACTCAGCCACAGGGCCAGCCCTTCATTTATTTTTTGAGTGTTATATACATTCACGTGATTGAAAATTCAGAAAGAACCAAAGGGCAACATATCACATATATACCTTGTTTTATTTCCTTAATAATATATCTGAAGATCACCCCTAATCAGTAGGTTAAATAGTCCCCTATGCTTTTTAATGGCTTCATGGTGTTGTTTTATGGACGTACCATATATTGGTGCTACTATAAAGACATTTAGGTTTATCCAAATTTTGATCTTACAAATAATTCTATAGCAGTAACCTTGTATATTCCTGCAGGTTAAATTTCTAGAAGGCAAATTGCTGAATCAAATGCTATGTGCACTGTAACTTTGTTAGATATTGACAAACTGTCTTCCATAGAGGTATGTCAGCTTACACTCCCATCAGTAATGCATAAGAGTTCATGTTTCCCCACAGTCTGAAAATTTTTAGATTTTTACCAATCTGATAGATTTAAAAAATGATATATCAGATTAATTTTTATTTGCATTTTCCTTATTATAAGTGAAGTTAAGCATTTTCCATCTTTTCTAAAGAGCCATTTATTTGTATGTCTTTTTTTTGTGAACTGCCTGCACATGACCTTTGACTGTATATCTATTGTGTTTTTACTTTTTTATTGGTTTGAAGGGGCTCTTTACATAGAGAGTTATGATATGTATGACAAATAGTTTTCTTATACTCTGCTTAGTGTGGGCCTGAATACTTTTGAGGCCCAAACTTAGTTTATGCTCCAGTGTCGAAAATGGGGTCTTAAGCACTGGTTCAAGTGATACAAGGAATTCAGAACTGCTTCCTACTAAATATCTTGACTAGGATTTCAAATTCTCCTGCCCTTTTACATAGATGAGAATATGCCTTATTTTCATCCTTATCCCCTACTCACCTACATGGTTTCCAAAGCCAATGAATTAGCAGTGACAAGATGATTTCATCCAAGCCCTCTTTAGAGAGCAGAACTTGGTGCAGCTAATTCCAGCTTCTAGAAAGAGCTGTTTGAAGGTAATATCCTCAAGGTCTGAGGTGCGATGAGGTGCAGGGATAATCCTACCTGTTTACTCCCCTAGTATTGCATTCTGAGTTCTGTCTCTGCATCATTTGAAGACCTCAGGGCTACACACTAAAACCACAGCACTGCAATCTCTTAAAGAACAGCCTTCATTGTAGTGACGGTTTCAAGGATGTACATGTATCTCCAAACACATCAAGTTGTATACATTAAATACGTATGGCTTTTTGCAAGTCAATCATATCTCAGTAAAGCCTCAATAAAGTTTCTTTTAAAAAAAGAATTGCCTTTACTTTGTCATCAAGCATGAGAATTTCAGAATTTGTGCCAGGAATAACTCTGTTTCCCAAAGCACTAATTTGTTTCCTCCCCTTAGGGAATAAAGTTTGAATTCTACCACCCCAACTCCTTCTATTTAAATTCCTTTAATTATTATTATTTCTGTTTTTGATTAATTTTTTTGGAGAGGGATGATCAGGCTAATTAATAGCCAACCAATTCAATCAGCATTTTTCAGCACAATCTGCACATTAAAATCACCTGGAGAGATTGAACCCTCTCTAAGTCCCAGACAATTCAGTTAGAATCTCTGGGGGGTGGGTGGATTTAGAAGCTGCCCAGGTGATTCTGATGCTCTGTGAGGATTGAGGACAAGTGAGCTAAGCAAACAGTTAGGTGAAATTGCAGCAGCAGAGCAGAAACTGCCCAATGAAATCATTATTTCCATTCTCTGTGTGATTAGTAAAAATAATAATAGCAATTAGGTACTGTATTAACAGTGATAAGTTTGAAATGGCATTGGAGGTGGAGAGCTGGCCTCTCTCTCTCATTCATCTTGGAATGAGGAATGGTGAAATTCTGGAAAGGAAGAGTCGTGCAGTACTTTCCTATAAACAAGAAAATTTCCTAGAAAGTTTGACCAAAGAGCTAATATTGTCCTGGACTTTTTTGAGGTGAGATTTTGGCATTTCATCACCCGTCTACTCGGTAGAACTCATTAAGGGCAAGGATAGTGTCTTAACAGCTTTGTATGCCCAGTGTCCTACATGTTGCCAGACATACAGTTGGTACTTAATGCATGCTTGTGAAGGGAAAGAAGAAACTAAGTGTAAAATTGTTTCAATTACCCAGGAATATATTGAATATTCTATAACTGTTTTGTCATTTTATACTGCATTTAATCACTCAACTGGAAAGTCTGTTATGAAAATGATCTGCTCTTTAAAAAGAAATCACCTAAATAAATATCGTATGAAACAAGCATTAAAGTATACACAAAATAAAGACAGGATCAGTAATTGTGTTGCATATTCCATGATGCCCCATATATGTATTTATCCATTCTATCTCTTTCTCATCTCTTTGATGTTCATCTCCGTAGAAAGAAAGTGAATCAGTGTGGGAGGAAGGGTTTCAGAAAGAGAAAGAGATCAGGGTGGAAAGAGAGATGGGGAAAGAAAGAACAAAAGGAGAGGGATAAAGAGAAAGAAACAAAAGTAGAAAGTGAGGATTAGTTCTACACCACACGCATTTAATAGTTTAAAGGTTGAAAATAACATGCATGAGATTTTTCTATAGGAATTGATCCTTCAGATGGAGATCAGGGAGGAGGTGAAGACAGCAGGAGAGTGCAGTAAAGGGCTCTTGCCGTATAGAAAGGGTGCCCAAACCAACTACACAGATAGCATATCATTAAAAGCTAGTTCCACCAGTGTCCCTTCCATTATGGTTCCACAGCCCACCCCAACTCCATTAATTCAGTAGAAGTTCATTGAGTATTTAGTACTTTCAAGACATGGTGCTTACTTGAATATGAGGAATATATCAAGATGATTGCAATAGGAATCCTGCCCTCGGGGATCTTATGTCTGACCTACAGCTATAATTTAAAATAGAAAGTAATATTTGCCATAAAAAGGTACAAATATTATGGAATTTTATAAGAGGGATAGATTCTCACACTGATTCCCATTAGCAGCCCTTTGGATGTTTCCTTTTCAAAATAGTATCATCTCCAAATATCTTAACTTCCTAGAGTCAACCTATTGTGCCTAAAAGGAACTAACTTGTTATTCTGAAGTTATGGCCAAGGTACCTTCCAATTCTTGAATTCCACATCATTATCATTAAATGGTGATTTCTAAGTGGCCAGATACATACATCATAGCTCTAGACTGTTAAACACAGACAGTCCTTGTCTTTAAGGAGTGGAAAATCTCGGCAGGACATCACACAACATGTGAACACACATAGGCAGTGTATATATGATGAAGCTCCTTGATTATTTACAGGAATGAAGAAGTGACATAGACATCTCTAGAAGTTCTTCTATTATTAGGACCAATCATTTGGAGTAAAATAGGAGAGAGTTAGAGCCAGGTTTGATACCAAAGAATATCTTATGAAAGAGCTTGGGTTTCTGTTGCTACACAGGGTGGGCCAGAGCTAACTCTGAAGTGCCAGAGGACCCCAGTTAAGTAAGATGTGAAGGTTCATGTTTGGGGGAGATGGGAGAGAAGGACCCCTAGTTCAATACCTAGATTGAAATGACATCCAATATATTTGTAGAATGTACAATTTGTATTTTATGATTAATGATGGATTTGAAAAGGGCTT